GTTGGATCAGGAACTAATAAAGAAATCAATAACGAATTAAAAACCGGAGACATACACTCCGATATCCCGCCCTCAGGTGATGGTTCGTTTTTTAGTGCATCTCAAATAGATAATAACAGGGAGCAAATGCAAAAAAATTCTGAAAGTGAAGACAATTATTCCGCAGATGCCCCTGATAACGCTTTAAATGCTAAAGATGAAGATATCAATAACCAAGCATTGAAAGACGATGTTTCGAATATTATTCTTAAACTAAAAGCAGATTCAGTCTTAGAAAAGAATTCGACTAAAGATCACACATATCCACCAATCGCTAAAACAAAATATAAGATACAAGAATTTAATAACCAAGTACCAGCTCTAGTAGGATTAATTAACGAATTTTCCAGACAACCTGACCGTAAAGCAGCGGATGATGAAAAATCAGATGATATTGACAAATCCAATTCCAAAAATTTAAATCACAATCAGTCTGTAAAAATGGATAATATTTCAGCTTTGAAAATTAAACCTTACGAAAACAATTCAAATAGTAAAGAAAAAGACATATTGAAAACACAAATTTCTAGCACAGATCAAGTTAAAGAAGGAAAAGACAAAGAAGAGCAACACAAACAAGAAGGAGGACAACACATTTTATCTACTAAGAAAACGAAAGATTTGAAAGAGATTTCAAATGAGGTTGAAGGCGACGAAAGTAAAGTATCTGAAAATCATTACCTTTTAGCTAGTGGAGGAGTACAAATCAGCGATCATGACGACAGCGATATAAGTAAAAATTCTGCAATGAGAGGTGAAAGCGAAAGTGAACATGATTACGAGTCCAAGATGAATGAAGGTAGTGTGGGAAATGAAATATCGCCAGATAATGCCAAGGATATAAATACATCTCAATATAAATTTTCGTCGAATATTCTCAAAATTGACGAAGAAAAAAATCAAAACTCTTCTTATGATTCAAAAAGTGACCTAAATATTAAAGAAACATCCAAAATTTTAATTTCAGAAAATAACATTGAGAATACTTTACTAACCACCAGTGAAAGAAAAACCCTACAAAAATCATCCTTGGACATTGAAGCAGAAAATGAATCCACCAACACTAATAGTGTGAAAGACTACAAGGAAAAAAAATGCTTGAAAAGCACTGCTGAAAATCTACAAGAAAAGATTCACGAAAATTTGCATATAAGTAAGGAAAATTTCATCTTCCCAGAAAAACGGAATGCGATAATTGAGCAGGTTGATAAAAGCAATAAAGTTATCAAAAAAAGTCTAAAAGAACCCAATGAGCAAAAAACAACGAGGTTAGTAGCATATGGAGAAATTGCTCTCAGCTATGATAACGAATTCATTAATGAAAATAATAGAGAAGCAAGAGAAGAAGAAATCTCAACAAATGTTTCTACGAAAACTTTTAATGAATTGAATAAGCAAGCAAGCATTACTTTTGAACAAGAATCGAATGGAAAAAATTACCAGAATGAAGAAGATGCTCGAAAAAATTCAAAAAAACAAGAAGAATCATACGAAATTGAAAGTAACGACATACAAGAGAAACTACTTAACGTCGAGCAATTATCGGATAATATTCAATGTGAAAAGGATTTGAGAACCTTAAAGACATGTGAGGAAGAGAATTTTCCCCAAGATTTGACTGGAGATGCACAAGGTCATATTCAAGAGGATCTAAAATCAGAGTCAAAAATTCTTAACAAAATTTATGACGGTATTGAAAGTCAATCATCTCGGAGTACTAGTAAGAAACGTAAAAACTTCTCTTCTGATCAAAAGAAAGAAGGAGAGAGCCCAGCCGAATCCGGCGAGAGCGAAGGAGTTGTTCGTTATATTGAGTCACAGACATATTTAAAACATGATAATAAGAAAGGTTCTCCTGATGAATACTACGAAGAAAGCTCGAATGAAACCCACCTAGATGAGACTGAAAGAGTTGGTGTCGGTAGTGGGACCAAGCGGCACATAAAGAATGATTATACAGAACATTTTTCCAATGAAAGCGATAACAGCTCCCCTGAGAAAGATGGAGCTGAAAGAGCTGATGACTTTAATGTGTCCGAGAAACACGATGACCTCAAAAAAAAATATTTTTCTAATGAAAGCTATAATAATTCTTGTGAGATCAAGCAAAACGAAGCTAAGTGCGATATACATTTAAGAGATGATCGTAAAAGCAATTTGCCCAATGGCAACTACAAGAAAAGTTTACATCAAACCGAGCAAAATGAAGTTAGAAAGTCTGATAATTGTCACGATGCCGAGGACTGCTTAACAAATCATCAAAAAAAGATTTCTCTTGATGTAAATCTTAAAAAAGGTTCGCATAAAACCGAAAAACGTGAAACTGAAGAAGTCGTTGATTGCCGTGAGATCGAGAAATGTTTGGAAGAGAACTATAAAAAGAGTTTGATAAGAGAAAACAGCAAAGAAAGTTTGCATCAAATCGAGCAAATTAAAAGTGAAAAAGGCGATGATTGTCTCAACACCGACAAAAATTGGAAAAGTGATCCCGACGGAAAAGAAATTAATTCCAAAACCTGTAAATCAATTAAGCTAATAGAGGAGGAAAATGGAAGCAAAGAACGGATAGAATCACCTGACGAAGGAGAAAAATCAAGTGAAAAAATGACCTTATCCAGGAAAGCAGATGAAGGCAATGAAGCCGAAATTGGAAAACAAATCAAAACTTCCGAAAGACCTGGCGCTCCTCTTTCACCTAAGATACCAATTACCGCAAACTTGCCTTTTAAAGAAATTCAATATTTAGAAATTGACAGCAGTGTTCCAGGTAAAGAACAGCCATCTCTAAGAGAAAACATAAGGAGCAAATCGGCCGCAAAAACTGCTATAGAGGATCATGTCATTCAAACTTCTAGATATCATATGTACAAAAACCCGGAAATGAAACCCATCATAACAACTGAGAGCGAGTCTGGTAACAATGATGACTCAAACCCTGAAAATATTGAAGAAAAAGTGTGTGAAAAAATTAATATAATTAAAGAGCAGAACGTTGAAGAAACATTAAAACAAAGGCCTGTGGACGGTAGCTTAAATGATCACGAATTGTTTAAAAAAGCTTACAAAGGCGGTACTAAGAGCGGGGATGATGCTGACGTTATCAAAGAGAACCAAAGGAATGCGCCGGGTAACAAAGTTGATAGATCAAATATTAATCCTGATGACAAAGTAGTTGAAAGCACTATTGATTTTTCTAAAGAGACTGAGCAAGAATGTAATATTAATGATAAAGATACAAAGAAACCAATAATAATCGACATAGAGAGAAAAGCAAATCAAGATTTGGATCCTCATAAACTGTTAACAAATGCTTTCATGGGCGTTGTTCAAAATTCTGCCTTTCAAAATTTTGAAATGATTGATGATAAAATCAATAATAATCTTAGGATATATGTAAGTAGAAGCGAATCTAATTTGATATCCAGAGAAACGCCGCTATCCGAAACTTGTGATGATGAGCTTTCCGGTGACTCCGAACATAGGGAAAACTTGTTTTCAAAAGCTTCTCAAAATGGAAAAGAAATTTTAAAGAAAAACATTGATGAAGTTAAGCCAGTAGACCTTGCCGAAAAAAACATACAGGGCCTGCATAAGAACTTTGAAGGGGAAAGCAACTCTCAGGTACAAAAAGCAGATACTATTAACGAAACTTTAAATTCAGGAGAAAATTCGAACCGAAATGGTAAAAATAAGTTAACGAATACTAATAAAGGTAATCATGACACTTCGAATACAAATGGAAAAGGTAACATAAAAAATCTTTTTGCTAAATATCCTAAATGACATGTTCTCCTTAATGATGCAGGTGATCACGAGTTTATAAGGAATAAGAATGGTCAAGCCTTAGATTTCGAAAAGGATCAGTCACAGCTAAAGCCCGAAATTTTCTTAGAAAAGCCAACCACAGAAGCTCCTCTGCAGAATTCTAAAGAAGATAATAAAGACCCTTTGAAAGATAATACTAATAAAAAATCCCAAAACGACACTAATAGATTAAATACTATTAACGAACCCTTGAGAAAAGGTAAAGAAAAGAGAAGTTTTTTAACTAATTGTTTGAAAAAATTCTGGATATACATTTCAGACTTAAACTCACATGACACTAGTGACGGAGGAGGTCTAGGGTGTCAAGGTGAAGATAGCAACGTCTTAAATTTCACTACGAAGAAAGTATATGAAAAAACCTCACTAATACCTTCAAAAAGAACAACAATTAAAATCGATGAAACTAAAGAAGACAACTTAGAAGATTCGAATGAAGAATTCGACAACGACAGAAATCATAACGCAGCAAATACTGTAGATTGCAAAAGTGACTTAAACACTCAAATATGCGTGGCCGATAAAAAATCAAATGAAGGTTTATATGAGAATAAACGAACCGAAAATGAAACAAATTTCGAAATTAACACTCGTAATGAAGTAATACTTGGTAAGGTAGTTTTATTTTAAAACTTATCTAAAATTTTGGTTATTAAATAAGAAGCAAAGCTTAGTATTTGACAATGTTACACACACGCTAATATTGGCAAATAAAATTTCAAATCATGCAAAAATCTGAACTACGCCAAAGGTCTCAGAGAAAGATATTCTCAACAGCCTTTCGCTGAAACGCATTTAAAATCATTTCGTTATAGCAGAAACAGCAATTTTATAAAATTCGATCAAAGAAATGATAATCACTGAGGCGACAATAAAACCCAAGAACTTTCAAATAATTAGGAAGATATCGATAAAATAAAACTGTACTACGAAAAACCGAAACGTTTGACAAGTTACGTTACAGACGTAAAAATGCTCTTATCCGCCATGCGAAGGAATTAAATAATGAACAGAAATCCACTAAAATCGATTTTCCGAAATGTGTTAACATTGACAATCAATTAGATCGAGAAGGTCCAACTAAATTGTTTAACGATCTAAACATCATTAATACTGATTCCGATTCTGATTCCAAAAACGCCTCAATGGAGACAATATTAATAGTTGCCAAAGTTGCTCTACATGAAAATCAATCAGCAGTTGCAATGTCAAATTTTGACCATCAACTCAACGGAAGGGAACTCGGTAGTTCGGAATTTTCGCTTCAAACAATAATTGAATTGAGTGAAACTGAAGCACCAATATTTGAAAAAGATATTCAAGCTCACTAACAAATAAACCAACCACCAACAAATTAGTGAAACTTCTGAAAGTTCTTCTGATTGTTGTCAAGCACAAGACAAATTTCTTTACGCTTTTGTGGAATGCGGGAGTAAATCAATTAAAAATAAAAATCATTCCGCATATGCCGGTTTGCACGACAACGACCGTTATATCCACATTAATACAAAAAACTCCAACTACCGCGAACGTTAATCACTTCGAAAACGATGTAAAAAATGAATCATCGTTGAAAATACAAGAACTTTTCCGAAAATAGCTGTTTTGATAGAGACTAATAAACCAGAAAAAAGCAATAACGTAAAGGCTTTAGAAAATGTTTTCGAAATCAAAGGTAACTGAGCGGTATTGAACGGAACTGGGATACAAAGAAAATACAACTTACTTGAAAGCCCGGGAAATATGTAAAGTACATAACCGTGGCCAATGGAAAAGAGGAGGATAGCGAAAATTCAATTCTTCTGATATCGATGATAGCTTTATGGAAGATAAATTTATTGTAAACAGCGAATTTCGCAATAAACAGTTCGATAATAACAATAATGACTTAGAATATTACTAAACTGAATCAAAAGACATTGAAACCAAAATAAATAAAATTGAAATTGTAGAACGCACATCTACAGAAGAAGAACAACGTCAAGGCCGCAATGTTGGCATACAAAATTTAATCCCAAACATAATAGAAATCGCAAACAATAAAAAACTTACTTGTGCTTGTACTGGTTGGTCCAACAAAGACTTTGGAAAGCCATTCCACATTAAAATCAAAAGGAACATTAACTTGCTATTACAAAGAGTTCGCTGCTGCAAAAATTTTACCAAAAGCGCTTGGGTATGAAAACCAAAGAAAAATGATCGTCTTTTTAGAATCGCTTATGTATTGAACCCTTAGATGAATTGAAAATTTGAGGAATGGAAATTAAGTCGAATCCAATTGCTACTAATGATCCTGATTTTAAAAGAAGTTTGTTTGACGGTGATAAATTGTTTGTAGCAAAAAGTACTCTTGGGATCAAACTTTCTCGGAGACCGTTACTCATGATAGTCAACCTGATAATTCTAAGATATTAATTGATACAAATATTCAAAATCGCAATAATGCTTATTCTAGATTCTTAGCTAGAAGTAGTAGTAATTTCTGTATAAGAAAATCTTCAACTATTGATTATAATGTTTCACAAGACATGATTGCGGCAGTAGACACCAGCGAAAAAGCCATTAAAAAATATCAATTGGGACAGGATGTCAATATTGCAAACAAGTCAAATGAAGCGCAAATGTTGAACAAAACCTTTACTAAAATTACCAGCGATGGTAAGTCTTTGTAAAGAAAGTTTTTTAAAAACTTGTTTTTGAACTCTTTTTTTTTTCTCAAAATTACTAGATTTGTATGCTGCTTTCAAACATTTGGATCAGCAACGTTCTGAAAACAAGGATACGGTTAAAAATCTGCTTAATAGTTTTCTTAACTCAGAACGTTTGTATTCTTATAAAGTTAATCAGACATCACATTTTCCCACAAACAATGTGGTAGAAATTACAAAATCATTCAATGATGTTTTGGATGATGGAAAAGATCTCCGTGAATCAACTGTGCCATACGGAATGCTCGAAGAACGATGTATTAAAAAAACTATATCACTTATTCACATCGACGACAGCGTCATGGAAATAATTACCGGACAAAATGAAAACGATTCTACTGATAAAGAAAACGTCAGTGACGATGATGCTGATGACAGCCTAATTACGAACGCCATTAAATTGCAACGAAATGATATGATTATAGAGAAAATGAAACAGCGGCAAGAATCGACACCAAAAATAGCTAAAGGCAGCGCCGATAATTCGAGAGATATAAACAATTTTGGGGAGCCGTCGGTAAAACATATTGAAGGCACTCCCGATACAGATGAAGAAGCCGTTGTTGTTAACAATTTGCAGCGCGAAGAGACACGTGAAAATTCAGCTTACAGTGATGACATCATTTATGGCAATGGACAAAAATTTGCTATTGACAACGATTTCACCGCAATCAAGATGGAAGAGGAAAACCAAGATCAAACAAAAACATTTATGAAAAGTGTCACCATAGACACGGCTGTACGTTTCATTGAGCCCGCATCAAGTAGTGACAGTTTTTGCTTAGATGAAGACACCTCTCAGGCTATAAGAAGGCAAATAATGGCCTATTCCATATCGGACGCAGATTCCGATTACGTGGAAGAACGTGTCGGTGAAAATATGAATGCTGGTGGCGTTAAATCGCATCTAAAACATAATGATTTTAATATAAGTATAGCTTTAATGGAAAATATGGACACTTCCACTGAAACAGAGTCAACCATAGTATCCGCTGCTACGAAAATACAAGCAGGAGCGAGAGGTTATCTTACACGAAAACGTTTAGGAATAACAAATAATGTTAATGAAAGAAAAGCTTCTCAGAAAGACGATAGCAAAGCTTCCTTTGGCAATGCAGCAATTAGCGAGTCTTTGGAGCATTTGGTTAAAAATGAAGCAGCCAAAAAAATTCAAAATGTATATCGCCATCATCGAAATAGAAATCAAGCTCATGTTCCTGGTAAAATTGAAAAATCTAGTGAACGAAATGTCGATGAAGGAAATCGCTTGGCTCAAAAACGATCAATGCTACAGCGGGGAGATGCCCTCTTACTTAGTAGCACAAGCAGCAGTAGCAGCGGCGCTAGCAGAGAAAAGCAAACAGAAGATAAAAATGCGCAGATGGTAAAAGGTAGATAGTTAAGTGACTGTTTATGTAAATTATACATTTTTGATCTATAGTGCATTCTTATTTATTTGAAAATTTTTGCATCAAAAAGCAAAAAAAAATAAAGTTCAGTCATTTTGTTATGATACATTGAACATATGAACATATTTCCGGAAGATATCTTATGAAACTAATAACCAGCATCAAGCCCCGCTAATACGTTTGTCATTGAAACTCTAGCGATGTTAAATTTAGGTAGAGCTTAGAACTCGGTTCGGAAATTGGGTTCGCATAGCAGTTTGGATTTTCCTCAAACATAACTGAAAAAAACTAAAAAATATATGAAAGGAAAATCCTAGAATACAAATTTTGTAAAGCATTGCAATCAGCTTGAAGTTATTTTTAACGAAGCAACAAAGACCCCTTTTGAACATGATCCCAAACTTTTTACAAAAGCCTTCTCCTTATCTCTAAATTATTAAAATGGCATGACAAGCGGGAAATTTTAAAAAATATTCCTCAACAAATTAAAACGTAGTTAACATCCTGTAAACATTACCTTAATATAAAAGATGGCTCGCATAAGTTCATTAATATTTTCCCTCAATACGAATTAATTTCTCCGCAATTTTACGTTAAGATATTCAAAATTCAATAGAAGACTTGCTAAGTTCAATCTGTTACGTCTATCTGCTTGGATTTATTGCAAACCGTTGATTCTTCTTTCTTTTCGTTTTTCTTGCAGCCAATACAGCTGCCATGATGCGTGCAAAGAAAATTCATAGCAATAAATTGGAATGGCTCGCAATGAGACAAAATTCGATGCCTGTCCAAATCGATTCGGAACTGTTTCGCGTCATACCAAAACATATGCGTAAGCGAATTTATAGCGCCGAAACTATTAAAAAGAAAGGAAATCGATCTAGTCGTAGTGACAGTGGAAATAAACATTAACAAAATTTTAAATTTTAATATTTACATCCACGCAAACTTAAGTATAAATATTTTATGAAGACAAAAATCAAAAACAAAAAACAAAAAGTAAGAAAATTAAATTCGGTTGGGACCGAATCTTTTATACCCATCACCGTTTATTCCAAAAAAAGACAAAAGAAGTAAAATAACAAAATTCTCGTGCTCTATAATATGGAGTGAGCGCAGTTGATTTCCTCTATTTTCAAAATAAAAGTTTTTGTCGTAGAGATATGTGAGTGTTGTAGGGATGCCCTTTGAAATGTTTAGCTCAATTCCAAATTTTTTTGCAAATGTGTAGGCGATATTTTCATTTCCGCTAACGGGAGAATGTTTACCACAAATACGGCAAAGTTACGCAAACAGACAGATGAACAGGCGGACATGTTTAAGCGCGTTCAAGGTTTGAAACTGACCAAGAATTTGTATGCTTTATGGGGCTTTTGAAGTTTGTTTCTGCGCGTTATGAAGGTATTGAAAAAATGATTCAATTTTAATACACTATAATAACCAAGCAATAACCAATCTTTCATTTCCGTTGAAAAACAGAGGGGTTCTTACCTTATTTCGGGTCGTCAAATATTGTGAAAATTGAATTCTTCCTCTTGCTCACACAATTCGACCGTTTTCAATACCAATCTGTATGCAAGAACGTTCAATATTTCTGCGAAATTTGAAATCGATAGTTTCATTTTTACAGCCAACAGAATGTTTACAACAGACATTATACAGACGGACAAGTTTTAAACTTTTTGCTCGTGAAAAAATGTATCGCAACTCAGGAAACTTGATGATTGTCATATTGAACTGAAAAATAGCAAGCAGTTCGCTTCTATCCTTCCTCCCTAATCCCAGCATCCGGCAGTTGCCCAGATAATAAGTTTTTCGTGGAGGACATGTCTGAAATCATGGATACATACATGCATAATCGTCATAATTAATAAAATGAAAGTTTACTCTGTCAGTCTAATTAAAACTTTGCCTACAGTACCGTCTTTAATGCAGTTTCCACTCTATCCCAACTTTCCGCTGTTAAAAATTCATTCAATTACGATTTCGCAGAGATCAGATATGCACGCATAATATGTATATTCCCTATGCGCATTTGTGGCAGTCACAGTAGTAAAAGCAAAGCATACAATTTGTACAGTATACGTAATATCAATTGTCTAACTGTGGGCTTGGCGTACGCTATTGTATATTATTTATACAATATACATATATATATTTAATTATTTTTTGGAAGTTTTAATTGCATTACCCTTTTTTTCTATTCGTTTCGATGGATTACTCACGCCTCAATGCATTGCTTAAGTTAAGCAATAAAAAATACGATTCAAAACCATAAGAGCTGTGATGGCATACAATGCGCGTTTATTTACGCGCGTGTTATATCAAAAAGAGAGAGAAAAAAAAAAAAGAAAAAACACTAGGTTCTCTTTTTGTATGCAGGAAACTAAATAACGGTTCAATGAATTTTTCTTCAATCCGCTTCTTCTACTTTTTCTCTCCCATAGAAGATAATATAAAAAGATACTTCAACGTTTCGTTTTTAATTGTACAAAAGTAAGAAGAAAAGCGAAAGAAATCTGAAATTGCTCTTGAATGAAAAGATGTAATAAAACACATATATATATATCCTTCGGTGGCGGGTATAAAAATTTTATAATATTCAGAAATATAATACAGATGCATACGCAAAACATATATGAATTCTCACAAAATGCTTTACACATGTTTGTATTGATTGTAATGAAAGCAGTTTACTAAAAGCAAGCGTATATGTATGTGCAGTAAATTAATAAAAACAAATTTTGAAAAACATTCAGAGATCGTTTATCTTAAGGCGACTAATAAATACCTAACACTTAATTATTAAACAAGCCTAATATTATACTATGGCAAGTTTCTTCAAGTAACTACTTATTACCGGCTAGGTTTGGATAATAAAACATCAAAAATGTTCAATTTACGTGAGAATCATTCTTAAACCGAAATATTATACCTTTTTTCAATATGTGAAATATAAGGTAAGAAAGTACTTTCATTTTCATATTTCATATTTCTTAACTTTCTTTCATATTTTGTAGCTCACTGTAATTAACTTTACAATCCACTAAAACATTTATTTACCCACTTTTTCGAAGTAAACCGCTTTTTGTAAGGCCCAATTATCTCATGATCTTTCTTGAGTGATTTTCATAGGCCTTTTACTTTCTTCTCTAATAAGGCCGCTTTTTTTGCGTCTGTTAAAAGGATGCCCTTTCATTACACCGAAACACTATTCATCTATACATCTATACATCTAGAGGAACAGAATTAACGCCAAATACTCCAAAATGTGCGAAAATCGAACGCCAGGTCTCTAAAAATTTACTAAAACTAGTCAGAATGCGTTAAATGGAAGAAAAATTCTCTTTTTTCATACAATTATATAAAAGATTGCAAATTTATTCAAATCACCACTTGTACGAATATATGTAAAAATTAACAGGAAATATTCAAAAAAAAAAAACTTAATCTTGTTATAGTTGTTTTGATAATGCGTTGACGTTTCAGACTAGAAAAGCGTGATTGACCAATCCTTACTTATTACATCTTATCATACCATAGCTGAAAGATAGTTTTCATTTAATTATTCAATTCTCTTTAGTAGATGCGGAATATGAAAGCTTACATTATTAACAGTTAAAATGGACATTTATACGTGCAATCATGCGCTTTTTAGTTTTATGATTTTATGACAAATATCTTTCACTTGTTGGGAGAATTCGTCACGTCTTTCACGTCTTGTATTAAGTACATTCCTAAGACTTTAATAAAGCCTCTTCATTTAATTTTTGAAAAAATTTTAAATATTAAAAAAAAAACTTTTTTACTTCTTATTTGACGATCTTATTTTTTATCCGCGATCAAAATTGAAATGACCGATTGTATGAAAGAGAGAAAGAAATGCATGTCTGCAAAATTTCTGCTAATTTACAGAAACCGTTATCAGCTTTCACTGTATATGTGAAAACACATATACATTAAAAAAAAAATAGCAGAATTGAAAAGGCTTGCCATCCCAAATGCTTCTATTGACAGTGGTACGGAGATGAAACAAAATGCGAAAATAAAAAAATTTTTACTTATTTTAATTTTTTTTTATTTTTTAAGAAAGTCATACATATAAATATTGTAAGTTTGTTGCGCTTGGTGATCTTCTCTACAATAATTTTTGGCTAACTCCGCTTCCGCATTTCTCTTTCTAATTCTAACGTCAAGGTACTTTATTCCTAAATATGTATATTCAAAACAAACTTCTCCCAACATTTCGTTGGGCAGAAGCGTAGATGAAGAGTCGAATAGACGGACATGTTCGTGTGCATTCCGAATTTGAAACTGGCGAAGAATTCGTGCCATTTAAGGGGGTTATGAAGCGAAAAAAATTGAATTTTGATGCACTCTAGCTTAGGGAAGGCGTGACCAATTCCTTTGCATTTGCATTTGTACGGGTACTACAGCATCGTTCATGGAATATATGTTCAAATTTAATTGGCTTGTGAGTAATGAGCAAAAAACATATTTTCTATTCCATATGAAAAGTAAAGATGTTCTTGGCTTACCTAACACTTTCGACCTGTCCTTCGACCGATTTGGCCCATTTTGAATAACAACGTGCGTGCAAGATCTTTCAATGTTTTTGCCAAATTTGAAGTCGATAGCTTCATTTTTGCGGCCATAAAAATGTTTAGAACCGACGTTACACGAATGGACAGACGGGCATAAGTAAATTGAGCCAGAATTTGATGCTCATCAGCAACAAACTCATATGCCTGCTTTGGATTCGATGAAGCTTCCTTCTGGGCATTGCAAACGCCCAGACAAATTCAATATACCTCCCATCCTTCGGTGATAGGCATAAAAATTGATCTCATTAAAACTATACAGCAACACTATAAATGTCACTTAGCAATTTAAGTAATGGGATACAAATTAAATTTCTACACTTAAGAATATTCTTTTTTTTTTGAAAATAGGATAAAATCGAATGCCACGC